AATCGGATCCTTTTCAGTCTCCTTCCCTGCTTTTACAAAATATATTTCTGCTTATAAATTTAATAATTTTACTACCACTGTGAAAAATCATCATAGAAAAGATCTGAAGTTTGCACTATATTACTCACACAACCTCCTTACTCTTGTACACCAATCAATCAATCACTCGGTGAGCTCACCCATAATGTTAAAAAAAAATCACATAATTATAAATTTGCCCAATTTTTAAATATTATTTGTCCAACTCATAATTTAGGTAATCATTCATGCACTGTTCTTTAACATCAGCCTATCCGTGGTATACATCAGTAGAGGCGTATTTTTAGACGTATATCAACACAGAATATTTTTTACAGTTCATCATAAATTTAAAATTCACTATTTATGTATGGCAAAACCTCAATTATGATTGTTCTTTTCATGTGAAAAATTGTGCTTAAGCTGTCTCTTATAATAAACTTATAAACTACACTTCCTTTCATATTTTTGTGCGTATGTCTGTCATGTTTGAAACAAATGAACGATATTTTAGAACCACTGTCCACTGCAGCTTAAATCTGCCTCTAACGCCCGATTCAGCATAATAACATTGGTACCTCTGGCAACATCATAATAACACTCATATCCGATCGATGATTTATTATGGCACAAGGCACAATCCATATTTTTATATAGGATGCCATCATTCCATTTAATAGGATCAACGTAAGACTTGCACAGTCTTCGTGTGGTTATATTTTGCCATGATCTCGGGCAAGAAGAAACCATGCCGGGAATACAACTCCTGATGCCTCTGGTAACATTTACAGGCTTCTGGAACAACAAGTAGCATTTTTCGAACATCCATTCATCGTTTTCCCATTTCCAAACACCCCACTGCTGTTTTTCTTCAATGAAAGTTAAGTTCTGAAGAACATCTTCTTGAGTAACATCCACATTGGAACAAAGGGCTTTAACTCGCCATTCCACTAAGTTCTCAGTATTTTCAGCATTACATAAAGCACAATAGTAATTCTTGTAAGTCACTCCTTCTTTTGGGTCAGTAACAGGCACGGTTCCCATAAGATCATTAGTCTCACTGCTTACTACTGTGTCTTCAATGCATTTTTCTCGAATATGCTCACGTCCTGTCCAGGAATCTTTACATTTGTTCACCATCCAGAAATTTCTATTTTCACCGTGCACATATACACATCGATTGCTCTGTCTTCGTCTGATCGCCATTCGAAATGTTCTGTAAGGTGCATCCAAGCAGCAATCATTGTATATAAGTGAGCAAACGCTGTCACAGAAGCAATTGCGAGTCGATTGATCACCGCCAACTAAACAGGAATTCGAACAAACTGGCATAAGTTTACGTATTTCGCCAAACGTGACAGCAAAAATTATCAAAATGCTTAACGCGATTAAAATGTGTAATGACATCCTCAAAACTAAAGATTAAGATCTGTTTAAGAAATTATTTTTATAAATGAATCGATATTTTAATATGCATTGTATGAAAGTTATTGTTAGTATTTGTCATTATGAATAAAAGATGTAAACTTTAAATATTCTTCCACTTTACAGGAAACAGAAAACGCAGGAAACTCGTCGATTCTGACATCCGCGTAGAAAAAGATAAGATATTGTTGCATAGAGAATTTGTTTCCTTAAGATATATGTTTCTTGGTGATTAACTTATTATTTAAATATAATCATTATTTATTTAAAAACACATTTAAAGAATAAATACCAAGAAACTTGCTCAAGTGGACAACTTAATCAGGGTACAATTTGTTGGTGATTTTAGACTAGTGGTAATTTTATAAAAGGTCAATTTAAAATTGTTTTTACCAGTTAGATATTAGATTACGATCAACTTGGACTGGTGATCAACACGCAACAGGTGATCAAATACACAGATTTCGCTGCATTAATATTTTATAAAATACTTGGAGCTTTAATATGAGCGCAAAAAGAAACTTTTATAAAAAAAATATCGGTTTTCATTAAAATTTGCAGTTTTTTTATTGAATCATGAATTTTAAAATATATGATGATGATTGATTTAGCATATCAGATAAATGGCCTCTTTTCTTTTGTCGATATTTTCATCCCAACATATCGGGTGGCACTAACACTAACCAAATCACTTGGACCAATCACATCAATAGCATAATGAAGAAAAGGGAAAAGTTCCAGAAGAGAGAAGGCCTCCGCACGGATTAATTTAGCAGTCAGTCGTAATGAACACAAACTGTGCGAAAATGTCACAGCGTTCGGGCTACTAAACTGAGCAGTACGAAATATGTCAAAACGTTCGGAATACTAAAGGCTCCGATTTTTTGTTTAGGTAACCCCTTGCCGGGTTTGGCTTTCTTCTAGAAGATGATAGAGCGTTCGGTGCTCTACAGTCTTTAATGAACTATATTCTCACCTAGACTTAAAAAACAAGGTTACGTTATACAAGTTTATTTTACCTATGTATAACCAGTTCTCAGCAACTAAGACAAACACACAAGAACAAGATAAGGACTCTTCACAATCTTAGTGGATCGAGGGGGCTACTTCAAATGTACTAAAATATTAGCACAGACGTTAATTTAAGTTCAGAGGTCAGAAAAAAAAAGTACTTACTTTGAATTAACATACCTTTTTTTCCAATGGATTTGGATTTTTGACCCCAAAAATGAAAAGGGTTGCGCAATCTAGAAAATATGGTACCAATAGTTGGTCAGGAGAAATTAACCTTATATGAAAGACTTTTAAAGGATCTTTTATGCAAAGGTTCACTGAAAATAATTATGTCTCAACATTTAGTAAAGAGCAAGTTGAAAACAAAATACTGCCCAGCGTTATGGTTCACTCATTTCTAAAATTAAAAAAATTAAAAATCAATTGAAAATTTTTAGAAAAACTGTGTTTTCTCCAAATTTTATAGAATCATAAGTTCTAACCTCTGAAAATTTCTTGCAATAGTTACTCGTGACTGTGACTCATGAATTTACAATAGTTACTGTTTGGTCAAATTTAGTTGATATAAAACCAGCGATGTCTATGCTTATTCTTAAAATGACGAAAAACGTCAATATAGAGAAAGACCATAGTTTAGTGAAAGTGAAAATCGTTTGCAGTATTGTTGTAATAGTTCTTTAATATTTTAAAACTCACTCTATTGCTTCATTACCTGTGCTCATGAAAATTGGCAAAATCCGAAAATAAGGTAGTGATTTTGATAAATTTCATCTAAGTCGATGCTGATTTTTTATTGAAAAAGTTAAATATTTATTTCGAAAATACTTATTTGTCCGTCCCCAGATAATTCTTCACAGCAAGATGATATACATAGTTTGAAATAATCTTTTTGCTTTGGGTGTTGGGCACTTAAACTGTGGCTTTTTTTATTTTCATTGGCGAAAGATCTTGTTTGACTACTCTAAACACTAAATCATTTAAACTACAACACTCTGTGCAGTATTTTATATACTTCTTATAATTTATAAAATTATGTAGTTTCTAATTCATGAATTACAAAAATTGAAAGTTTTAGAGTGTAACTTTCGATGTCTACTCAGAGTTGACATTGGAGTGTAAAAGGTTAAAAGCATTGTCGAAAACACAAAATGGAGTAAAAATTTGTTGCAACTTCTCTGACCTGATTGGTTAAAACACATAAACCACATTGGTTAAATCAGATGCACGTGTTTATCTCTTTACTTTTCTACTGTCATCTGGTGTTTAGACACAGAGGAAGGTTCTAGTTTAGAGAAACGAAAATACAGTATGTCTATTTCTGTAATTTTTTTGCACGTTGTTTTCAACTTTAGCATCTACATAGCACAAATTATACCCTACATCCTGCCTCTTCTTCTTTTTTAAGGTTTTTGAAAGATTTTTCACAACTCAAAAAACATTTTTCACTTCTCAACTCAAAGTCAAAATGCAGGCTGTAGTGATTTATAAGTAGTATTTGGAATTGAGTTTTACAAACACTGAAATATCTATCTTGAATCATGATCTTAAACAAACTCTTGAACAAAGCGCAACACATTAGTTATTCATGACTGTTAAAATCGCTCAGCAGTTAAGAAAAATTGCATATCTGTCACTTAAAGTTTGGTACTACATGTGACATAAGAAAAATCGAAAATTACCATTAAAAAAAATTATGCTGATTTGAAATCAAAAGTTTATCCTGTTTTTATAGTTGAAATCGCTGATATAAAATGTTAACACTCACCTTTAACTAGTAGGCATGATTTAAAGCAAGGCGGTAATAGAAAGTTATTCTGAAACCATATCATTTGTCTTTTGTGAGGTGTAAAATATGCTAACTCTTTTAAATTATAAAATATTCATCACTATTTACTTTCAATAGGGAAAAAATACTCTAATATATTTAGTATAATTGTTAACAGGAATCCTAGAAGTCATTTTAATCATTCCGAAAACAAGCTATAATGAACTGATTTTTTTTTACCAGTTATTGCTTTTACCCGTCTAGATATATAAAAATTAAATACCTTTTTTTATGTAAATAATACCTTGTTTTCAGTAAAAATAACATATAACAGATGAATAACAATAAATGTAACAGATTGTACTTTATTGATTCGGTGAGCAATATGGCGAACTTGACTAACTTGTAGCTAAATTAATTAAAATAGTTGTTTCTATTCCTATCAGTTTTTGATAATAATTACTTATTTGAAATAATTTCGTGAGTTTAGTTTAATTTATACTCCACTGTTAATTTATATTCAGACTTGCTGATATGTCCAAAAGGTTAAAATATACACTTTTTTACAAATTGAATTCAGTAAAAATTTTATCTAACGTGTCTTAATTTAATGAGTTGGCGACCGACTTCCAAGATAGTCACAAAATCATTAAATTAAGCAAAATAGTTAATTATGGGCCTATTTGAATGCAGTTTTTGTCAATAAATTCTTAACAGAAACAACTTTTTAATTAATTTATATTCCGCATACTGCTTTCAATAACAGTTGTTTTTCCTATTATTGTTTTACATATTCCACAGGAATGATGAAGCACACAATATTTTCTCCTCTGTCATCTTTAAGCATGAATTTTGATAAATAATCGTAATCGGGGATCGTAGCATTTTCCGAATTCATGTAGGTGTATTCTTGACCCTTCCAAATGGGACACGATAAACCACTTTTGCATGCATCTGGATGGTCTAATGGTATATTTTCTTCACTTCCAACCACTTCTCTATTAACCATTCTCGATCCGTGCAAAACAGCAGTAACAGAGCTGGAGTCGACGAGGGATTTAAATCGGATCGTGGTAGTCTCAATCGTGTTCTTGACCAATGGGCAAGTATTTTCTGGAGTAGGGCAGCTCGATAAAGTTACGCTTTCAATCTCGCTCTTGATTGGTTCATCACAACTTTTGTAGCTAGTGGACATGGAGCTCAGAACCAATGAGAATAATATTAAGCAGGTGAAATACTTCATGGTAAGCTGAAATTGAAAATTAATTTTACAGTCTTTTACAGGAATTATGAACAGGTTTTCATTGTTATAATTAGAGCCCGGATTTTGATGACCTAAGAAATCTCAACTAATGCCCTTAAAAAGGGCAAAAAATGCCCTTAAAAATGCAAAAATTGCGCAAAAAATGCCTTAAATAAAGTAAAAATATTGAATTAAAAAAATGCTTTGCTCTCTAAAATTATTATGAGTCATTTAAAAAATATAAAACAATGCTATACTTGTTTGAAAAATATGTTTTATATCCTAAAATAACAAAAAAAGGAAAATATATTGACACCAAAATATTTTTATTTTGTATAGAAACTTTAATGGATATAACAACTTCCATCTCATAATATTACTAAATATCAGAATTACATTGGATTATTAAATGTTTTTCGATAATTTGAAATGTAAACGAGCGTCTCTTGTCTGAAAGTAAATTTTCATTCCTGCAGAAGCTTCTTTCAACGTCTACTGATGTTATTGGTGCGTACTTGAAAAGGACGGTCACACTTACTGACAATTCTTCTTCAATTTGAAAAGATGTTGCTTCACCTGTTAATATCCTAGAGATTTTCTTCATTGTTTGGAAGCCAGTGTAATAATAAAAAATTATAAAAAATAATAAAAATTAAGAAAAAATTAACAAAAAATTTAAAAAATGCTTTAAAATGCAAAATACGCCCCAAAATTTAAAGAAAATGCCCTATAAATCTCAAAAAATGCTCTGAAGGACAAAAAATGTCCAAAAATGCAAATGTCATCCAAATCCGGGCCTTAGTTATAAGCTATCAGATCTCATGGTTACGGTTGAAGAAACATAATTTAAAAATTGCCAATTGTCAGCATCTACTTATTATTGCCAAAATATGACCCTTGCATTGAGCACTTAAAGATTTTGAACTATATTTTTATCACTAATCGAAGCAACGCAAGCTTAGATCAAGAAACGAGTGCTTTGAATATGTTCAATGTATCAGAGATTCAACCCTGCTAAATACGCTCAAACTGCGTCAGAAAAATCATAGTGATTTGTATACTCCAGTTTGCTTTCGCCGTCGCCATGCTTTTAGGATTTTTTTGAAAAAAATTTTTTTGTTACAGTGAGAACTATACTTAGACACAAAAAAACGGTGTCAAAAAGAATTTGGCCCAATTCTTCGAAAGATCATGTTTGAAGCATTTAAAAAATTTGTCATTTTTTTTACCAATATGAAATTTGGATCGACCAAAATGAGGAAATGAAAGTTATTAATTTATTTCTAGTTTTATTACAGGCAATTCTGAAATTATTCTATAGGATTGCAATCGTTGTATCTGACTGCTTTTTTTTAAATTATAGTTGTGTTGAAAAAGTAAATTAGCTCCTAACTTCCTATGCTCATTTTGGTGTCCATGCAAATTTTGGGTGGGTAAAAAGGACACTATTTCTAAGAGCCTTAAGCATGATCTTTTAAATGGTGCCAACAATTTTGCCATGTAAAATCTCTCAAAACAGTTGCTGCTTAAAGAATAATTGTTTACATACAGTTAATGTAGAGGTGTTTCCATTATTTTGATCAACACCTGTACATAGAAAAAAGTTAAACTCTTTATTTACTTAAATAATACAAGCATTTCCATATTTATTTTGTGTATCTCTACATCTATCTAAAGTCCTAAATTTTTCCCCCTCTGCTCGTTAAATACTCTCACCTTTTATTGGGTAGCTGTTCCCTAAAAAGAGGCTGCTTCTTCAGTGTCTTATTTATTATGAGGCCCAGGCCTAGAGCCCCCTTATTTCTAGAGACCCTCTAAATGTTACAAATAATTTCTTTTTGTATTTTTAGTTAATAATTGTCGATTAGAATTATGAGTTAACGAACTAGATATAAGCTCACATTTGCTAATATACCATAATTTACTTGTGTTATAACTTAAAAACACTTCAATATTAAACAGCAGGTAAATTTTGTTTTAAGTAATGGCCAGGGAGTTTCTAAAAGTTATATTCTTAAGGCCCCGCATTTCTAGATCAGACCCTATGCGATTTACTTTTAAAGTGTACTTTAAAGCATGAAGCATACTTTAAAGGAGCTACAACAGTCCATTTTAGCAATTGCTTTTTTTTCTGTTACGGCCCTCTAAATGCTTATATTAGAGCTAATTTTAGCAAAACTCCAAGTTTATAAAAGTTCATTAGAAGCTGTGATTATTCTAACCAAACAAGATAAATTTAATGTGAATACTCAAATTTTTTATTTTATAAATAACAGTCTTAGAATCAAATTAAATGTTAGACTGTTGCGCTTACAGGGCTGGAGCTGCTTCTAGTTTGTATCGCATGCATAAATAAGCTGAAAATGAATAAAATAAGCAGAATTGTGATTTTCAAAAAAGAGTTGTTATAAACTGTAAGAAAAATGACCTGAAATAGGTAATTCTTGAATTAAGTGTTTTTTAAATTGAAAAGTTTAACTAAAAATATTTACGAAGTATTTGTAAATGCATATTAATTTCGTAATTTATTTATTGATATTTAAGAAATAAGTATAAATTATTAAATAAGTAAAAAAGTTTTATAGCATTTCTTCATTGACATTTTCATAAATAATAATATAATTTTACAACCATTCCATGAACATAACTTAATAATTAGAAAAATTATGGATTGTTATTTGAATACAAAGTTGCAACATTCAAAAATCACCACTAGTTAATAAAAGAGGTCTACCTCTTGGAACCCCTGTTACCTATATTCTGAAATCTATGGTTCCAAGGAACACCTTTTAGAAACAACTGGTCTATAGGATAAATTTAACGGTCGCCACCAGGCACTGGGAGACTAAAAATAACAAATTGGCATCTTAAAATTTTTTGTCAATCACCATCTGAGCTTTAATTTCTTCTTCAAAAATGAAACCCGGGTGCGATTCACTATTTTTTAAATAAATAAATAATTATTATTGATATTTTGTAAATCCAAAAATTGCTTTGTTTCATGCTTATTCCATAAAGTTTTTCCTCGTTTTAAAAATTAACCTTGTAATGTTTGCCATATTTTTACAAAAGCTATGGAAGAATTGCCTTACATTTTAATTTCATCAGTTTTTTAAATAAATTTAATTCTTCAATTCTTGAAAAAGCGGTTTTAAAAAATGGCCACTGTGAAGAATGCTGCATTTGGCCACTGACAGGTCGCAAAATTTTCTAATTTTGCCAAACACTACTTTGTGTTTAATACTACATTGTGTTTAATACTACATTACATACTAAATACTACATTGTGTTTAAAAATTTGCAGAAAAATTTCGTAACAGTAAGTTTCCGTAAAAAAAACTATTAAATATCTATTAAAGGAAAAAAAATGGTGAAGAAATTGATATTCACATTTTTTGACTAATATTTTTAACAGGTATTTGAAATCTACATGTTACTTCCGGTGCAGATACAGTTGCGTAATAGACCCAAAATATCTATTTTAGAGCATTTAGTCATTTTTTACTAAACAAATAGTAATGGTGCGGCTATCAAGTTTTTCTACTTACATTTTTAAAATATCTATTTCTGAGTAGTTAGCCATTATTTTTTTATAAATAAATAAAAATGGAGGGACAATCACATCTTTCTACTTATAACATACTTCATGTTTAGAATAAAGTTTGCTTGTTATCTTTAAAACAGCTAGATAGGGTCCCAAAATATTTAACACTCAACATAAAGGACATTTTTATTTATCTTCCTTAATAAAAATGGTAAAGAAATTAACTAGCTTATGTTTTGACTAATAGTTTGTAATAGGCATTCGATTCGGATATGGTTCTGAAACAGCTCAAAAATATCTAATATCGAATATGCTTGCCATTTATATATATATGTATACCGATATATACCGATTTTATATATATNAAAAGAGTTCTAAATACACAACAGTCATAAATGTTTAAAATAATATCTAATAATAAATATTTCATATAATATCTAATTAATGAAGAAATTGATAATCAACAAAGTATAAATCAAATTCATCTTATTTTACGAAAAACTAGTTGCTAAAATTCTTCGTCTAATTAGTGAAGAAGTTCACAATCAACAAAGCATAAATTAAAATTATTTTTTCTTTTGAAAACTAGCTGTTTAAATCCCTTGCCTAATTAGTGAAGAAATTTACAAGCAACGAAGCATGAATCAAAAATAGCTTATTTTATGAAAAGCTAGCTGTTTAAATCGAATGTCTAATTAATGAAAAAAAGTTAGACTCAACAAAACATAGATCATAATTATCATTTTTTATAACAAAACTAATTGTTAAAATATTTTATACACTTAGTCAAGAAATTTAGAATCAATAGAACATAAATCATAATTACTCTTATTTTTGAAATAGCAGCCTCTTAAATCCTTTGTTTAACTCAAAATGATTCTTTGTTATAAAGATAAATCGGTGTTATTTACTGTCTCTGTGTAAATAATCAAATACCTTTTGCAAGTCATGATTTGGAATTATCACGATATCACGTTATTGCAATACACGAACATTGCAAAAGAATGATTTAGCAAACAGAGCCCATTAGATTTACTTGACTACTGTTCACACAACTGAAATAGATCTTCTGACAGATTATAAAAAGATAGGATTTGATAGATTATGAATAAGACAGTTTTTAAAGAAGAAAGAAAAGATTTGAAAGTATTATAAAACTGTTCTTGAAAAGAAATTCGCTTAAAGTTAGAAAACAAATGAAAGGGATCTTATATATTTGAACAACTTTATTAACATTTTAAAATACGACAATGAGTAAATTGCACGTGCATGACTTAAACAGCTTTGACAGAAATTCGTTTTTTCTGGAAGTGTATCTGTCGGTATCAAAAAACTGCCATGTTGCTTTGTTAATGATTCCATTTTAATCTGGAAACATGTCAAATCGTTTTTAAGACATCATTGTTTTCAAATAAGTTGAGTTTTAAATTGCATCTGATGGAATATTAAATGAATA